GCCTTGCCAATGCCAAATAGAGGGGGGAGGAGCACCTCTCTGGATCTATTGGCGACACATCTGCTGATGCACTCCAGAGTCCTATTTGCTTTGCTGGTGACTTCATCACACTGGTGGCTTGTATTCATCCTCTGGTCAATAGTTACCCCCAGGTGCCTTTCAGATGCAGTGCCAGCCAGTGGACCACCACCCACTATAGATATGGTGAGGGTTCTTCCTACCCAGATGAAGAACCTGGCACTTCTCCCTGTTGAACCTAATCTGATTATGTTCAGCCCATAGGACCAGCCTGTCAAGGTTGTCCTGGATCTTTGTCCTATCCTTGGACATGCCTGCTTGTCCCTATAACTTGGTATATCATCTGCAAACTTAATCATTGTGCTTTTCACTCCCTCATCCAGGTCATTGATAAAGATGTTAAAGAGCATGGGCCCAAGCACTGATCCCTGGGGGACACCACTGGAGATGGCCCTCCAGGATGAGGCCACCCCATCAATTACTAATCATTGGGATTGGCTGCTGAGGCAGTTGCCAACCCACCACACTGTAGCCTGGTCTAGGCCAGTACTCTCCAGCTTAACTGAGAAGATTTCATGGGGAAACAGTATCAAAGGCCTTGCTGAAATCTAGATATGTGATGTCCACCTCCTGTCCTGTGTCCAGCTGGTTAGTTACCTGGTCATAAAAGGACACTAGGTTTGTTAGGCATGTCCTCCCCTTGACAGAACCATGCTGGTTGTTTCTCAGTACCCCACCAGTTGTGAGCTTTTGGTTGATGGCCTCTGACAATTTTTTTCAAAGATTTTTTTTTTTTTTTTTTTCTCAGGACTGAAGTCAGACTGACTGGTCTATAGTTAGCGGGGTCATCCCTCTTTCCTTTCTTAAAGATGGGTACCATGTTGGCCCTCTTCCAGTCACGCGGGACCAGTCCCAAGTTCCATGACTCTTGGCCTCACCAGAGGCATTACTATGAGCTCAGCCAGTTCCTTCAGAACTCTCGGATGCAGGTTGTCTGACCCAGCCGACTTGAAAACGTCCATATGATCTACGAATATCTTCACCTGTTCTAGACTGATTTTATGTGGACTGCTGTCATCACCCTATTCTCTGTGCCTCTGGACAGCTGATGAGTTCTCACCTGGTTTCAGGAATACTGATGCGAAGTATGTATTAAGGAGCTCTGCCTTTTCACAGGGGTCAACTGTGGGCTTCCCCTCCATGTTCAGTAGGGATGCCACAGTGGAGCCTGACTTTTTTCTTCCTTGCTCCCTATGTACCTATAAAAGGATTTTTTGTTGTCTTTTATTTTGGTTGCCAGCTTGATTTCCATGCATGCCTTGGCTTTCCTTGTCTCATGTCTGCAGATCCTGGCCACATGAGCGTACTCTTTGGATGCAGAACCATTTTTGAATTGCACGTATGCTTCTTTTTTCTTTTTGAGAAGTTCCCTAATGTATCTGTTAAGCCAGGTGGGTCTCTTGGCCCCTTTCCCTCTTTTTTTGACCGCGTGGGGATGGCCTCTTTTTGAGGAGTGAGAAAACTCGCCTTAAGGGAGTGCCATCCTTCATGAACTTCCAAGTTATCCAATCGCTGGTTGTGAAGGGCCTTACCAACTAGACTCCCGAGATTACCAAAGTCTTCCCATCTGAAGTCTAGGACTCTTAGTAGGATTATCAGCCTCTTGGTGGATGGCAGATCTAATCAAATCATGATCACTGTCACCCAGAGAACCTCTAATCTTGTCCTTGTCCCTGTACTTGTCCTTATTGAACTTCCTGAGATTTCTTTTGATCCAGTCGTCCAATTTGTTAAGATCTCTCTGAATCCCAGTCTTACCCTCCAGTGTATCTGCTGTTCCCCCCAGTTTGGTGTCATCTGCAAACTTGTTGAAGGTGTACTCCATCCCATCTTCCAGATTGTTTAATTGCTTCAACAACAAAGCTGGTCCCAGGATTGACCCCTGGGCACTCCACTTCATACCAGCTGCCAACTAGACATCGAGCCATTGATTACTACTCTGAGCCTGATCCAGCCATGTTTATCAGTCTGAAGTCCATTCATCCAACCTGTATTTCCTTGTTGGAAATACCTGCTCGGTCGGGCTTTAAACTAAGCCCGCCGGGGAATGGGGGACTACTGCCACAGCAAGCCCACTGGGCAACTTTTGCAAATCCAACAGGCTAAGGCACTCAAAGGAATCCACCCCTACCCCACTTACATGCCTGTACACCAGTACCAGGAGCTTGGGGAACAAACAGGAGGAACTGGTCCTCCTGCTAAACAAGAATTACTACAGTGATCGGTCCACTTGTATAGACAGCTATACCTGGTACAGGAGAGATTATGTAGATAAAAGGAGCGGGGGTGTAGCTCTCTATGTCTAGGAAAGCTACACGTCCCTGCAAGCTGACATTGGCATCCCGGTTGGACGACTGAAGACCCTCTGGGTTAAAATCTGTGTTGAACATGGCACAGTGAATGCAGTGGTAGGAGTCTACTACAGACCTCTTAACCAGGATCAAGAGCTCGACCAGGAATTTGCCAGGGAACTGTCGGAGTCTGCATGCTCCCGGTGCATGGTTGTCATGGGAGACTTCAACTCCAGACATCTTGTGGGAAGAGCACTTGGCCAAATCCGAATTATCGCAAAGCTTCCTCATGTGCGTGGACAAGGTCTATTTGACTCAAGAAGTCTATGGACTGACAAGAGGCAAAGCGCTACTCTACCTGGTACTGGCAAAGGAGGATGATCTAGTCAGCGACCTGTTGATTGAAGGGAAGCTGAGAGACGGTGACCATGAGCTGATCGCTTTCACTATCCACCGCAAAGCTGGCAAGTCAGTCAGCAATGCAGAAGTCCTTGACTTCAGGAAAGCTTACAACCTCAGGAGGCTTGTTGGCAAGGCCCTAAGGGACCATGACTTGAAGGGGTGGAGAGTTCAGGATGAGTGGTTGCTCTTCAAGGGAGCAATCCTGGATGCACAAGCAGTGTCTATCCCATCTTGGAGGAAAGGTAGCAAAAGGGCACAGCAGCCCCCCTTGGCTCTGCAGAGAACTTGTGGACCATCTGCATCTAAAAAGAAAGACCTATAAAGGACAGAAGACTGGAATTGCCTCAAAGGAGGAATACTCTGCATTGGTTGGGACCTGTAGGGAGCAAACCAGGGAAGCCAAGGCTGTGACTGAACGCCAACTGGCTACATGTATTAAAGACAATAAAAAGTCCTTTTTGAGATATGTGGGGAGCCAGAAGAAAAGCAAGGGTAACATTGGACCCCTGCTAAACCAAATGGGACAACTGACAACCAGAACCCCAGCTGACTTCCTACCCCTGGGGCAGGACTTTATGATCTTCCAAGGTTCCTTCCAGCCCTAATGTCTATGAACTCTGTGAAATGTTTTGAAAGCTTTGAAATGTTTTGAGTTGTGAAGCAGCCCACCGGCAGTGGGAGAGCCAGTGGTGGAGCCATTAAGAGTGCATCCCTGGCTATGAGCGCAGCCCTGGCCTGTAGCTCTCCCCTGCCTCCTGCCGCCAGGCTCAGCTCCGTGGAGCTGGTGTAACCGCTTTGAGTGCAGCCCGGTGCATGCTGGTGGGGGGGGGTAGGTTGAGCTCTGCTGGCCCCCTGGAGCTCACCCTGCCCCCCCAGCGCTTCCACCAAGCGCTGGAAAGAGCCTGGTGCCACCCCTGCTGCAGCCCTGGGAGTGGCAGATGCCACCTGCCTGTAGCCGCTGGGCTGCATCATGCCCCGAACACCCTGGTGCAGCACAGCCCACTGGCTGCAGGCAGATGGTGGTTTGCTGTCATCCCACGTGCAGATTGGGGGGCCCATGCCCCTGAGAGGTGTCCAGCACGGCCCTCCTGGGGGCATAGTCCCCAGGATCTGTGCGTGGGATGATAAGAGTCTGCCGCTGCTGCTTGGGGCCATTGGCAGCATCAGTCTTCCCAGCGCTGTGTGCGCACTGCACCCAGCGCCGGTCTCAGCCAGCAGTGGCAGCCTGCTGTCATCCCGCGCACAGATCTGGGGACCCATGCCCTCGGGAGGGCTGGTGGGGCTGTGCCGGACTTTTCCTAGGAGTGTAGGCCCCTGGATCTGTGCTTGGGATGACAGCAAGCTGCTGCTGCTGGCAAGTGATAAGAGTTTTGCTTTTAACATTTTGAGGTGCAGTTTCACAAAACTCTCTGCACCTATCTCCTTGAAACTTGGCAGGCTTCGTGCCCTCAGAAGGGGCTACGATCCCTGCAATTTTCATCTGAATCAGGCAAGAAATGACAAAGTTATAGGCATTTACATGATCCTCCATTATAGTCTATGGGCGAAATGTCGAAACAGCGAAACCGTTTCAACGAAACAGAACAGAGCTTTGAAACGAAAGGACAAAAAGAAACACCGTCCCTTCGAAATGGCAAAACAGAAGTCAAACTAGATTGCTGCTGTCCTAATGTGTGGTAATCCACTAGCTAGGTGTCCTGTACAGCTTGTTTGAGGTCCAGTTGTGACACTTGGAACAATGGTCCATAGGCTGATGGAGCAGTAGTTTTGGAAATTTTAAATCTGAGGCAATGCCTCCCTACCACATACATGCAAGAGGCTGTCCATTCCCCTGTGTACAGCAAACTCCTATTCTTTACCGTTTGGTTGGTAACTTGTGGTAACCTCATAGAGGTTGTTTTCACAAGTCCAAGCTATAGCAATAGATGCAATAACCACATGTAATGTGTTTTATTAGAGGACTCCCTGATCGGGATTTTTGTGACAGCAGCTATCTGCTATAACCATATGGATTAAAAAGCCAGTTAAAAGAACGTAACTGAAAACATGTTAAACTAGACTCCTATCTTTAACTTATGGTGGTTGAAATTATTTAGCTGAATGTCAACTTCATGCTTTGTGGTACTTTATAGTAAGTGCATTTAGGTCCTTTCAGAATTGGAAATGCATGTCTCCTGTTATTTTGAGTGATTGCTTCGTCTGTTCTGAAATTGTTGCTTTCTTCCCCAGAGTAAATTTGATAACCTTTATGGTTGCCGAGAGTCCCTTATCGACGGCATTAAACGTGCTACAGATGTCATGATTGCTGGGAAAGTGGCTATAGTGGCAGGCTATGGTGATGTCGGCAAAGGTTGTGCTCAAGCCCTAAGAAGCTTTGGAGCCAGAGTCATCATCACTGAAATTGATCCGATCAATGCGTTGCAGGCAACCATGGAAGGTGAGATGTTGGGGAGATACAGAACACTGTATGTCTGTATCCCATTACAGAGCACTAAGTGAAATTGAACCAATAGTCACTAGGATGGCATTTCTCCCTGCACTTTGGGTAAGGGTGATGCCGCCAGTGTCATTGTGTCCTTAATGAACTTCCCTTATGACTGTTGGGAGAGTGATTAGTGGATAACTCTCTATTTTTCTGTTAACCTGTCTGATGATATCCTCTCTCAATGGTTATTTGGGTTTGAGGTTGCTTCACTGTTCAAACTTTGGGATAGAACCTCTCTGAACCTCTCTGTTTCAAGATGCTGTAACCCAGTTTCTGAACAGCTCTTGAGTTGATGCCCTCCATTCACACAGCTTTAACTTGAAGATTGGGTTAAGATTTCAAAGAATCTCTCCCCTTGAAAATACCAAGTCATCTTGTTGCTTATGTGTATGTATCCTGAATGTTGCATTATATTGTATAATGGATAAGTCTCATTGTGCAGCCGTGCTTGAAAGCAGGGGTGGGCAAAATATGGCCCACATGCCAGATCCAGGCCACTGTATCTGGCTCACGGGGCCCTTAAAAATTTTAGAAAAATAATATTTATCTGCCCCTGTCAAAGATGACACGAGTCAGGAGCAGTAGGACCCAGGAGAAGCCAAGGCAGGCTCCTGCAACAGAAGGTCTGTGCACTGGTCCCCACCTGTACCGCAGGGCTGGGGTGGGGGCACTGGGAGTGAGTGGGTGTACAAGAGCTAGCAGCAGACAGGTGGCCAGCAGCAGCCCAGGGCCAGTACTGGCGGGGTCCCGGCTGGCAGGCGCGGCCCAGCCCAGCTCCACAGACTCCTGCCACTGCTCTGGGGCTTGCTGGCGCAGGTCCCAGGACACTGGTACCTCCTGCCATGCATCCACACATCCCCACAAACCCCCATACCCCTCCCCCCGACATCCCTGCACACCCCACACAATATACAAGCATAAGACTGTATTTTGAGCTATTATGCAATCATGTCTGCATGTACAGCACAAATGCATACAAATCAGGACAAAAATATTTTTTTTAAAAATTAAATTAAAATACATTATTATGGGTCTTCATTTTTTAGTATGTAACTTGTTTTTTCCCCCTAAGATGGCAAACCCTCTTCTCCAAAGGAGTACTTCTAGGGCTAAGGGGTGGGATTTCCAGTGGCAAAGGTCAGAGGTTAGAGATGGGACTTCCGGTTCCAAGATAGTGACCAGGGGGCAGGGCACCTGTCAAGTGGCTACCCATGTAGTCCTTGACAGCTTGCCAAAACTCAGCAAGCAGCCCTCCACCTGAAATAACTGCCCGCCGCCGCTTGAGAGTAATAAAGAATTAACTTAGGCTGGGCCATGCAGTAGTTTGTGTTTTTTATGGGTGCCTCATATACATAGGTCTAGCTACCCAGTTTGAATGGTCTTATGCATGCCCACACAGAGCCTGTAAATATTATAAGTGCGTGTTCTTTTGAGAATTTGGCCACTGAATCCAAACCAGGAATTATGTCAGTATCTAAACTGCACAGGCACTTGCACTGAAAGAGTAATTCAGAGGAAAACTGTTCCTTCAGTGGTAGCTTTCCTGTTTAGTGCAATAGTTGAGTCCATTGGTACTTCTAGCTTAATGGGAAAAGGGTTCTCACTTGAGTAGAAAATTGATGTCTTTCCTTTTGATTTTCAGGTTATGAGGTCACAACAATGGAGGAGGCCTGCAAAGAAGGGAACATCTTTGTCACCACTACTGGATGCACAGACATTGTGAAGAGCAGGTAGTATCCAACCGTTCGCTTACTGTAAACTTCCTGTGTACCTAGACTTTGAAAATGACTGTGCTCAGTAGCACAGTCTGGGTTAGCACAATGGCCATTCATTCTTGGAGAGCTGGGTTTAGTTTTGAAGAGCAGGCAATTGGGATTTTGGGCTCCTGGTCCCAGTGGACACTTGTGTACATTATACTTGATCTCTTTGGGGTGCAGGGCACAGAATAAGACTAGGGAGGTGCTGTGGGTTGAGGCAAGAGGAGTCTTATAAGTACAGCTGTTGGTAGAGCTGTTTGGGGTGGCTCCAGGGTCTAGAGGAGCCTAGTAAATTGGGACTGGGACACTTAGGGAGCATGGGGGGCAATGAGGTTGGTGCACAGTCCTCTGACCCATGTCTAATTCACTGTTTTTGATCCTAATTTCAGGGCCATAGACTTGCCCCCAGCATTATGATGATAGTTATACTGAGAGGTTTAAATCTGAGGAAGTTACTTTGGGACAGGTCCAGGCTAATTTTATGCCCATTACAGATCTTGCTGTGGCTCAAAGGAGTGAGACGTTTGAGTGCACATGGCAAGCATAAAACATATCTATCCCTCATCTTAGCACCTATCTCACAGCATCTTCATTCTTTTACTTGGCATATCTCAGCTCAGAGTCAGCCTGATTGCCACATTTGGGATCAGGAAGGAAACTTACCTTCCTGCCTCAAGCAGGAGGTTGGACTAGATCACCTCCAGTTGTCTGTTTTCAGCGCTAGTTCTCTATGATTTCTATGATTCCACACATCTCTACTGCCCTCAGTACTGCTGTATTTATGCATATATTCCTTGGAGGGTAAGAGTGACAGTGGGTTGATACTGTGATTAAATAACCCACCCAAATTTGTTTTACACTTTGGTCCTAAGAAGATGGTCATTGCCTCACCTTGTGGTTCACTGCAGCTCTGGACTGGAACTTGACCTTTCTCCAAGAGCACTGCTACATTGTCAGGCTGCAGCAGTACCTCCTGGGGCCAGAAGGCCAAGCCAAGCTTCTCTTTTTATGTACTGATCATTGACAGAGCCTGTTTGTGTTTTTTTGCAGACACTTTGAGCAGATGAAGGATGATGCCATAGTATGCAACATTGGCCACTTTGATGTGGAAGTTGATGTGAAGTGGCTAAATGAGAATTCAGTGGAGAAAGTGAATGTTAAGCCCCAGGTAAGTCATCCCTGTGCAGTGCTCTACTTTTATATCTCAGGCTGATTGGCAAAGGACCAAATCTGCACTGCACAGCATTGGAGCAATGGGTACAACTAATGCATGAGACCCATTAGTTCAGGACCATTGTCAGCAAAAAGCTTGTGTTCTGGCTTTGTGTCTTCTGTGACTGACTTGAGAAGGCAGATACAAATTTACAGTGGCATACCCAAGTTTTATAATGGCACTATTAAATGATCATATGCTGTGGGAAGGCAGCTTTGAGTTGGGAAGGAAGTAGATGTAAAAGGGTGTGCGTCTGCAGTGCCGTTAGGTTAGTGCATTTGACTGCTGGCCCTCTCAGGTTTGGTAAGCAAGTAAGCAGAGCTGGCCTTAGGAAGCTGACAGAGGGGAGCTGCAGAAAGATCTCTCCATGCTGAGTGAGTGGACAAAAAATGGCAGGTAAACTTCAATGCCAACAGGTGCAAGGTAATGCACATAGGGAAAAATAACCTGAACTATATGTACACAGTACTGAACTCTGAACTAACTGTTTCAACTTAAGAAAGAGACTGTGGAGGCATGGTAAATGACTCTAAAAACAGTCTAAAAAAATTAACTCATGTGCAGCTGTGACTGAAAAAAACCTAATAAAATGTTGGGCATCATTAAGGGACTTGAAAATGAAATGAAAATCATCCTGCCACTATACAAATCCATTGTGCAACCCCATCTTTAATCTTGTGTGCAGTTCTGGTACTTAAACATCCCCCCCTATGCAGGGGTTCTGGAGGCTGATCTAATTGTTATTGGAAATGACAGCTCCACTATTAAGTGGTCTTATTTAGTAGAGGTCCAAGGAAAATCCTTTGGGCCCTAAAGCAAAGGCTAGTGTTATATATCATTCTGAGCCAATGTCTCTGCATCTTTTAAGTTGTTAGAAAAATCTGAATCTTGTCCTTTTTGAAGCAGTTTTTGGGGGTCTCATTAAAGGTTGTTTAGGGCTTTTCAATTTTCTCCCTTTCTTTTCCTGATTCAGAAGGCTTGTTTATGTCAAAAGCCTGCATTGACCTAAAGCTACTGTGCAAGCTGACCATACTGGCTGTCTCCTGTGTCCCCCTTCCCCATATTTTCTGTGTACCTTATAGTCCAGGTGTGCGTAAAATCTGGCCTGTGGGCCGAATCCAGCCTGCCAAGTGATTTATATCTGGCCTGTGGGCAAGTGGCTCCCCAACACATGCAGTCCCGCCCATGGGCACCTGGCGGTTCTGGCCTGGGAAGATGGGTGGGTGGGACTGCTTCTGTCCAGTGCTTGACATGGCAGCATCAGTGGTGGACCTGGGGGAATGCCCTGATCCACACCTGGAACCTGCCGGGCATGTTCACAGCTGATTCTGGCACCTGCCTGGGGCTGCTTCTACTGCCTAGGTGGGTGCTGGTGTAATCTGCAGACAGGGCCAGAAAGTGGGCCCCTCTGTGGGCCACATGCACACACTGCCTGGCCAGATGGTGGGGAAGTGGGGTTTGTATGCAGTGGCTACCACCCCACCACACTGCCACTGCCGCACCTGCGCGGGTTTCCTGTGGCTGACCGCATGTCTGTGTGGGGCAATAGTGGCTGCCGCATGTGAACTGCTGCTCCCCGCCCTCCCCCCCAGCCCAGCTGGGCAGTGCATGTGCGGCTCACAAAGGGGCACCGCTGCTCTCATCCCCCTGGACCTGCCCCTGGGAGCAGACAGAGTGAGCTGAGGTGGGGGGTAGGGAGGTGACAGTGTGTGCCGTGTGGGGCCAGTGGTGCCCAGCGCACCCCTCCCACTCCCCCGGGAAAGAACAAAAGTATGGGAAGGCGCCAAGGGAGATAGCGCCGCTGCGCCCCAGGGTGCACTTTGTGCCTGCCTGCCTGGCGGCACATGGAACCAGAGCAACACTATTGGCCTGACTGGGCTTGGTGCATCCATGTGTGGCTTTCCTTAAGGGCAGATAGCACACCATTCCAGTTCCACGTGCTGCTGGCTGGGCAGTCACTCCATGTCTTCCTCCAACACTTCCCGGCTTCCTTATCCCCCAGCCAGCAGCAGGTGGAACTGGAGTGGCACTATTGGTCCTTAAGGGAAGCCATACATGGAGGTGCCGAACCCAGCCGGGCTGATAGCGCTGCTCGTGGTCCATGTGCAGCCAGCTGGGTGGCCACTCCATGTCTTTCACCAACACCTCAGCCCCCAGTCGGCTCCTTGCAACCCCCCAGCCCCCTGCAAGCTCCACTTACTTCATGGGTTCCAGAAAGGAAAGTGAGCCTGAATCGAGCCTCAGGCCCCATCCTTCCCGCTCCCCCTCTGGGCAGGGCTGGAGCATTCCTTCCCTTTTTGCAATTGGCTCTTGCAGGCTGGAACTCGGCCACCTGCAGAGGTCTTTACAAAAGCAGGAGATCTGTGGGTTTCCCTGCTAAAAGCTAAGAACTGTGTTTTCTCTGATAAAGATGGAAAATCTGTGGCTTTCTCTGTTTTTTCCATGAGAAACAGAAAACCCAGATCCCTAGTCATATGTAGGTACCTACTCAATTCATGATTTTGTGGATTTTATGGAAATCATGAAATCGGGCATTGTCTGTGAAACTGGGCAATATCCATGAAATTGGGGCGGGGGGACTTACTAAAAATAACATGCTGGCTCCCCAGTGGGAAAGGGCAGCTGCATGAAGGGGAGCAGCCAAGATGCCTACTGCCCCTCCCCCCCATCCCTCACTGCTGATTGGGTGAGAGGGCTGCCTGTCATGCAGCCTCACCCCTCTCTACTAGTGAGTGGTATAGGGTGGGGCTATATGACAGACAGCCCTCTCAACCAATCAGTGGCAAGGGGCAGGACCACTGGGATCCTCAGTCAATCAGAGGCATGGCGGGTACACTGCAATAAGCCCTCAAAAATAGTGGCTGTCCCCATGATCTGCCTGTCCAACTGCTTGCCTTCTCGATTTTTGGTTATGTCCCTAGTCATAAAGTAAAGCAGGCACATGGTAATGGACCTCTGTCTATGTGTATGTATATGTATGTATATATGTATGTATATCTAAATATAATCACCTTGATGCATGTCCACAGACTAAATGAGGAGTGGACTTATGATCTTATGGACAATCAGGCATTGTGAGCTAGTCCCAACTTTAGATCTGGATTTCTCAGAGCAAAGTTGTGTCAATCAACTTTAAGTCTGAATAAGATCCAGGTTCTCTAGTATGTATTATATTACTGCCTAAGGGTCTTAACTAAGGTCAGCAAACACAGTTGCATTGAGACAGTGACTGTCTTGAAGACCTCACAGTCTAAACAGACAAAGGGTTAAGGGCAGGAGAGGTGAAGTGACTTACCTAAGATCACCTGGCATGGTTTCTGCTGTAAGACTTCATCCGCATTGTCTTCCAGTACAGGTTTATCCCTTGCTTTATGCTGTACATGCAGTCCTGGAAAACGGTGCATAATTCAAATTCACATAAAGGGAACCAACTTTACAGTGTAACAAATAGGGATACATTCGACCTAGACTGTACGTCATGACCCCCAGACCCATTTCTACCACTTTTTCCAAGACAATTTTGTTACTCACCAACAGCAGACAGTACACACAAGCACAGGGTGGTAGTGAATGTTACCATAATGGGGATGGCAACTACCGAAACACGTTGGACAGTGAGCGAGGGGCACAGAACTACACAGGAGACTGTTGGGGCGCATGTCACTCCCACAAAGCACTGTGCAAAGCAGCTGACTGCCAGCTTCCACCATACCTATAGCATAAGAGTGAATTTATCTCGCATATAACCAACTTTTGGTATAAAAGTAGTCATCTCATAAGAGTGAATTCACATATACGGAACCCGCATAAAGTGAGGGAAACCTGTATATTAATTGTTACAATGGGGCATACTGGTTAAAGCCCCTACCTGCCCTGGTAGAACGTTAATACTTTGTCTGCTTTAGGCTTGCCACAAATTAACAGTCCAGCACACACTCTATGAGTGTATGTAAGTAATCTTATTCTGTGGGGTTTATATTCCTGTTTGTTTTGGGGTAGGCAGTGTACCTTCAATCTATGCCTTCTGAAGGAAAAATAAAAAATAAAGGAAATAACCGTGTTACAAACTATATAGAAAATTCACATGCAAGTGCGTGCATACTCGGGCAGAAAATCTCCTTGCCTACCTTTTTATCGCGATGAAAATGTGTCAATTTGGGCATGAAAGAGGCTGCATCCCACTTCCCAGAAATGTAGAACTTCCCTATCAAGTTCTTTCTAAAGCAGAGTTTAATTATGTCAGATAACTGTTCTTTGTAGGAAAGTTAAGAGCTAACACACCAGGTGTATCTCTTCTTTTCTCCAGGCCAAT